CTCTCACCTGTCACTGTGAGTGATATATATTTTAATTCCGATTTCAACAGGAATATACCTCTAAGTGTGTGTGTGTGTGTGTGTGTGTGTGTGTGTGTGTGTGTGTGTGTAGTGTGTGTGTTTGTGTTGTGTGTGTGTGTTGTGTGTGTGTGTGTGTGTGTGTGTGTGTGTGTGTGTGTGTGTGTGTGTGTGTGTGTGTGTGTGTGTGTGTGTGTGTGTGTGTGTGTTGTGTGTGTGTGTGTGTGTGTGTGTGTGTGTGTGTGTGTGTGTGTGTCTAGCCTTCTCTCTGTTCAGCAGCTCTGATGAAGATCGCAGAGATGAAGCTCAGAGGAAAGAGGACGAGATCATCCTGCTGCTGAAGAAGGCCAAGGTACACACGCACACACACACGCACGCACGCACACACAAACTCTGTCTCTCTGATTGTGAGTGCAGGGTGTCCGCGGGGTATTAAAAAGTATTAAAGGGCATTTTCCAAGGTATCACATTTTACAGCTTGTTTTCAATAAGTATATTAATGGTCCAAAGAGGTATTCTACAGTCTGCCTGAATGTAATCATTGCGTAGGTGTGTAGTGTGATTCTGTGTAGTTTATTTATGGCATCCCGTTCAGACGTCATCTGAACAGGACATCGCACGCTCACTGCTTGATAGCGCGAAGGTCCGTTTACGCCGGTTGTTGAACAACATGGTTATGGGGGAATGCAAGTCTGCGTCCAAATGGTTGGAAGATAAGGAAGAAGGACAATCAATACTGAATATAGTAAATGTGAGGTAAAGTGTGTCGCCAAGGTAACCGGTTAGAACTCAAAGTGGAGATGAGGTCTTAACATGTATGGAAAGAGTCTTAAGAAAGGTCTTAAAAGGTCTTCCATGTGACTTCAGGATTCAGGGGATAGAGGATTTCTTTGATGATTTGAAGTTATTTCATGATTCTGCCAAGGCTCTCATGCGGCCTATCTTCTACGGCCCAGAGAAGCTCAGGCTAAAGGAAATACTGCAGGCAGAGGGGCTGCCTTCAGGCTCCGGTTCCTCCAGAGGTTCCTGACTGGACCTGCTGACCTGGTCTGGAGACCTGTAGCTCGGGCCTTATTGGAGCGCTGTGGTGGGCTGGGTCTGGCTGGGTCTGGCTGGGTCTGGCTGGGTCTGGCTGAGTCTGGCTGGGTCTGGCTGGGTCTGGCTGAGTCTGGCTGGGTCTGGCTGGGTCTGGCTGGGTCTGGCTGAGTCTGGCTGGGTCTGGCTGGGTCTGGCTGGGTCTGGCTGGGTCTGGCTGGGTCTGGCTGAGTCTGGCTGAGTCTGGCTGGGTCTGGCTGGGTCTGGCTGGGTCTGGCTGAGTCTGGCTGAGTCTGGCTGGGTCTGGCTGAGTCTGGCTGGGTCTGGCTGGGTCTAGCTGAGTCTGGCTGGGTCTGGCTGGGTCTGGCTGGGTCTGGCTGAGTCTGGCTGGGTCTGGCTGAGTCTGGCTGGGTCTGGCTGGGTCTAGCTGAGTCTGGCTGGGTCTGTCTGGGTCTGGCTGAGTCTGGCTGGGTCTGGCTGGGTCTGGCTGAGTCTGGCTGGGTCTGGCTGAGTCTGGCTGGGTCTGGCTGGGTCTGGCTGAGTCGCTGTTCCTGACTGGACCTGCTGACCTGGTCTGGAGACCTGTAGCTCGGGCCTCATTGGAGCGCTGTGGTGGGCTGGGTCTGGCTGGGTCTGGCTGGGTCTGGCTGGGTCTGGCTGAGGTCTGGCTGGGTCTGGCTGGGTCTGGCTGGGTCTGGCTGAGTCTGGCTGGGTCTGGCTGGGTCTAGCTGAGTCTGGCTGGGTCTGTCTGGGTCTGGCTGAGTCTGGCTGGGTCTGGCTGGGTCTGGCTGGGTCTGGCTGGGTCTGGCTGAGTCTGGCTGGGTCTGGCTGAGTCTGGCTGGGTCTGGCTGGGTCTGGCTGAGTCGCTGTTCCTGACTGGACCTGCTGACCTGGTCTGGAGACCTGTAGCTCGGGCCTCATTGGAGCGCTGTGGTGGGCTGGGTCTGGCTGGGTCTGGCTGGGTTTGGCTGGGTCTGGCTGGGTCTGGCTGGGTCTGGCTGAGTCTGGCTGGGTCTGGCTGGGTCTGGCTGGGTCTGTCTGGGTCTGGCTGAGTCTGGCTGGGTCTGGCTGGGTCTGGCTGGGTCTGGCTGGGTCTGGCTGAGTCTGGCTGGGTCTGGCTGAGTCTGGCTGGGTCTGGCTGGGTCTGGCTGAGTCGCTGTTCCTGACTGGACCTGCTGACCTGGTCTGGAGACCTGTAGCTCGGGCCTCATTGGAGCGCTGTGGTGGGCTGGGTCTGGCTGGGTCTGGCTGGGTTTGGCTGGGTCTGGCTGGGTCTGGCTGGGTCTGGCTGAGTCTGGCTGGGTCTGGCTGGGTCTGGCTGGGTCTGGCTGAGTCTGGCTGGGTCTGGCTGGGTCTGGCTGGGTCTGGCTGAGTCTGGCTGGGTCTGGCTGGCTGGGTCTGGCTGGGTCTGGCTGGGTCTGGCTGAGTCTGGCTGGGTCTGGCTGGGTCTGGCTGGGTCTGGCTGAGTCTGGCTGGGTCTGGCTGGGTCTGGCTGAGTCTGGCTGGGTCTAGCTGAGTCTGGCTGGGTCTGGCTGGGTCTGGCTGGGTCTGGCTGAGTCTGGCTGGGTCTGGCTGAGTCTGGCTGGGTCTGGCTGGGTCTGGCTGGGTCTGGCTAAGTCTGGCTGGGTCTGGCTGGGTCTGGCTGAGTCTGGCTGGGTCTGGCTGAGTCTGGCTGGGTCTGGCTGGGTCTGGCTGAGTCGCTGTTCCTGACTGGACCTGCTGACCTGGTCTGGAGACCTGTAGCTCGGGCCTCATTGGAGCGCTGTGGTGGGCTGGGTCTGGCTGGGTCTGGCTGGGTCTGGCTGGGTCTGGCTGGGTCTGGCTGGGTCTGGCTGAGTCTGGCTGGGTCTGGCTGGGTCTGGCTGGGTCTGGCTGAGTCTGGCTGGGTCTAGCTGAGTCTGGCTGGGTCTGTCTGGGTCTGGCTGAGTCTGGCTGGGTCTGGCTGGGTCTGGCTGAGTCTGGCTGGGTCTGGCTGGGTCTGGCTGAGTCGCTGTTCCTGACTGGACCTGCTGACCTGGTCTGGAGACCTGTAGCTCGGGCCTCATTGGAGCGCTGTGGTGGGCTGGGTCTGGCTGGGTCTGGCTGGGTTTGGCTGGGTTTGGCTGGGTCTGGCTGGGTCTGGCTGGGTCTGGCTGAGTCTGGCTGGGTCTGGCTGGGTCTGGCTGAGTCTGGCTGGGTCTGGCTGGGTCTGGCTGGGTCTGGCTGAGTCTGGCTGGGTCTGGCTGAGTCTGGCTGAGTCTGGCTGGGTCTGGCTGGGTCTGGCTGGGTCTGGCTGAGTCTGGCTGGGTCTGGCTGGGTCTGGCTGAGTCTGGCTGGGTCTGGCTGGGTCTGGCTGAGTCTGGCTGGGTCTAGCTGAGTCTGGCTGGGTCTGGCTGGGTCTGGCTGAGTCTGGCTGGGTCTGGCTGAGTCTGGCTGGGTCTGGCTGGGTCTGGCTAAGTCTGGCTGGGTCTGGCTGAGTCTGGCTGGGTCTGGCTGAGTCTGGCTGGGTCTGGCTGGGTCTGGCTGAGTCGCTGTTCCTGACTGGACCTGCTGACCTGGTCTGGAGACCTGTAGCTCGGGCCTCATTGGAGCGCTGTGGTGGGCTGGGTCTGGCTGGGTCTGGCTGGGTCTGGCTGGGTCTGGCTGAGTCTGGCTGGGTCTGGCTGGGTCTGGCTGGGTCTGGCTGAGTCTGGCTGGGTCTAGCTGAGTCTGGCTGGGTCTGTCTGGGTCTGGCTGGGTCTGGCTGGGTCTGGCTGGGTCTGGCTGAGTCTGGCTGGGTCTGGCTGAGTCTGGCTGGGTCTGGCTGGGTCTGGCTGAGTCGCTGTTCCTGACTGGACCTGCTGACCTGGTCTGGAGACCTGTAGCTCGGGCCTCATTGGAGCGCTGTGGTGGGCTGGGTCTGGCTGGCTCTGGCTGGGTCTGGCTGGGTCTGGCTGGGTCTGGCTGGGTCGGGCTGAGTCGCTGTTCCTGATGGACCTGAAAGGGTTACGCCTGAATAATCTCTCAGGTTTCTATGGAGGTCTCTTCAAGGTGTGGGGACTACTCAGAACTCGGACTGAAGTCTCCAAATCACAATGACAGTGTTTTAAAAAATATATATATATTATTTGGTGATAATGTGTCTCTTTGTTTTGTGAATAATTGTGGTTTGAAAAATCAAAATCTCTCACTTTCTCTCTCTCTCTCTGCAGCTCTCTCTCTCCAGAGATCAGCTCGAGGCAGCCTCTGTGTTCCTCCATCAGGCGTTGGCTCTCGCTCATCAGACCCACAACCACCAGGCCATCATCTACTGCTACAGCCTGGTGACCTGTGACCTCTGTACATCTCTGTGACCTAGTCTGTACATCTCTGTGACCTCTGTGACCCCTGCAGGGACGTGCACAGACATTTTGGGGGGCGGGCGCTCAAGTGAGAAAAAGGGCACTTATAGTTGCACATCTCTGACTTCCTGACCAATTGATTTGATTACCCTCACACTCACGCTATTCTACAAGAATTCTACAAAATAATGAGCTGACACAGAGACAATGGTCTGCTTTAGTATTCACTACGCACAAGAGCCGACAACAAACTAGTACAATTAATAGTTATTAAATGAGCAGCCAACAATCAAAATGATGAAATTACTGTTTAACCTGTTAAGCCCGGTACCGGGGCACTGCCGCAACATCTTGCAGGAAACAGTGTCTGAGGGCATGTTCATTTAATAAAACTATGAATGTTTTATATCCATGTAACGGGAAGAAACTCATCTAACTGATCATTTTTATTTATTTTTCAAAAGAAAACCCACAATGCTAACACTGAGCCTCTGAATTAGCAACGAGCGAAAAATGCTAACACCTTACTGCACCGAAAATCACTCACAAAACCTTATTATTTATCTTTTCACCACATCCAACACATCATTTCACATCGTGAGGTGACACAGAATCTAACGACACCGACATTATCCCTGAATTATACGAAATTGCGACGTTATAAGCAAAAACGGACATCAAAACAGGTGACGCTAGGTAGCTAAAAATGCTAACATCTTTACCTTGGCTGTCGTCTCTCCAAAGTGGTCTTCAATGGCATTAAAACGATAAAAACGCTGCTGAAGTTAATTTTTAATTTTTAATTGAACCTTAACCAGATAAAAAACATTGAGATAAAATCTCATTTTCAATGCTGACCTGGCCAAGAAGGCAGCAACGTTACACAAAACACAAACATATAAAATACAGAGAACATAACTAAGAAACCAAAAGAGGAAAAAGCAGTCCCTACATTGAGCACATCAGGACAGTAAGAAAAGTACACTACTTGTTACTGCAAGAGCAGCTGGTGGTGAGGACTTCAGACAACTTCAATTTAAAACATGATATAGAGACAAGTGCCCTCAGTTTGAGGCTTGATTGAAGGTCATTCCAAGACCAAGGACCATAATAAGAAAGACTCCTTTCTCCAGCCTCAGTCCGTACAGCAGGAACCTGGACCCGTATCCAGGCACTGGGTCTGAGGTTGTAAGAGTCACAAACTGGGGCAGATCTGGCACATATGTACAGTGGAAGCTTTCCTAAAATGACTTTATAATTAATCCATAGGTTAATCCAATGTGTCTGTGTCTCTTTGAAATGATTTATGATAATCCATGAGCATTAAAACTGCTTTTCCGTTTCCAGATGTCAAAGCTAGAGATAGGTTCACTCTGATGCAAAATTACATGCGCGAAGCCCCCACCTTTTCTCTTCACAATGAGTGTGTGTGGGGGACTCCCCCTTCGATTCTATTGGCTCTAACGGTCAGAAAGAGGTGTCAACCATCAAAATCGAGCAAGGGGGGCCAGAGATATGGAAAATCCACCCAAATCACCCCAGAAGTGGTTTCTTTTTGCTAAATCTCTCTAAAAAGGTAAAATGTCACTTGTTTTGCATCAATCTTGATACAGGGTACTTATTATATGTTGTACTTTGGATTCCTAAAGCTTTTAGTCTACTAACCCATCATCCAAGGGTAGTTTTCACTATAAGTAAAAAAGAATCTTTGGACGGACACTATAATTTACAGTTTTTTACTATGTAAAATCTGAATTTTCTTTAAAATAAAAAACATCTATATTGATTCTGACTTTTCTACATCCAACTCACAGGTTTATCATTACTTTGAGAACAAAGATTATTAATGTAACCCTTTTAGAAGGGAAGATATGGTCATTTGTTCTGGGAATGTCATTTTCGAGCCTGAGACCTGAAGAACAGGCTCAGGACATTTCAGGCAAAAAGATGGTTTTTTCATGGACTTGTTATTTTGGTCTATTTTGCTTCATGTTCTCTTTCACTCTGATGGAAATGAAACTTCCAGAAACACATAAATGGTGTTCGTGTTACTGCATGTCTGAATGCATCTATAGATTTAAAGCTAATCTGCATTTAAACATTACATTTCAGGGGAAAATACTGACTTGACCTGAGTAACTATCTGGGGAAGTTGTGAGGTGATGTGTTTTTAGTGTGATCCGTCTCACCTGCAATGCCTCGGTAACTGCATGCAGATTAGCGCATCTTAATTAGGCTAGTTAACGCCTAGTTAGCATATCAATGTGGTGATCGTGATGACGTTATTAGATACACATTTTACTGTATTCACTTTAAGTGTCTCCCCTTCAGTACATTAGCCTGTATGCCCATGGTGCATTGCCTTAGCTAAACCTGGAGCTATCCATTAGCTAGTAGCCTACCTTAGCTAGTAGCCTACCTTAGCTAGTAGCCTACCTTAGCTAACTATATGTGTTATTGTCTTTTAGCCAAT